CGCCAGGGAATGACACACATGGCGTGGTCCAGTCTCCCGGCGGGCAGAGGGGAATTGAACTGTAGGAGCGTCCACTGCTGCCTCTCTGCAGTGCAAAGACGGACATTCACATCTGCAAATGTAGCTTCGCAGCCTTCAAAAGCACACTGGGGCAACGACACTGGCAACTGGGCTGGTTTTCAACATTACAGAGCATTTCAGCGTTTCATCTTGTACGGGTGTAACTGACTATGAGGAGGGCCTGGCAACTGGGCTGGTTTTCAACATTACAGAGCGAGCATTTCAGCGTTTCGTCTTGTACGGGTGTAACTGACTATGAGGAGGGTGAAGCCCAGGAGGTGAGGGGGTGATGCGTTTTCCAGCAGGCTGGCATTTGCCGTTACACAGCTGAGGGAAGTCTCCCTACCTGTGTGATACTTGTACGTGGTGTCTAGTGTCCCGTCCGGACCTATTCCGCCAAAAATGTACAAGTGGTCTTTAAACACCGCTGAGGAGTGGGATGCCCGTCCTCCCGGGATGTCACCGGTGGCTGGTATCTTAATCCATCTCATGTCATCTGTTGGAGAAAAAGAACCCGCTTATGGTTAGGCATTATAAAAAACCACAAGTTTTGTTGTTTTAAACCAGTATGGTAATATTTTAAGCCCTTAAAACCTGATCTTTTAGAAAAAAGGTTCCCCAAAGTCAAAACAGATCACACAACAGCTCTCGCTCTACAGTACCTATATCCGTACTTACTTATATCAATGCAGAACAGATCACTGTAAAAAACGTCACCAGCTAAACCGCCATGTATGAAGAGTTTGGTCCCGACCGCAACCACGACGTGTCCGTGCCGAGGAGAGGGGGGATCGCCGTGAGTTTCTGGCTGCGACCAGGTCAAGGCAGCTGATAAATGGGAGCACACGTGCATTAGGAGGAAAACTCTGGAAGCTCTGCAAACCAGTGACCCCAGAGCCCTGCTGAGGCTTCCTGAGGAGGCGCCTCCACGGGGTCAGAGGAGAGTTAATGCTGCGTCGCAGAGCGCAGGTGAGCCCTTGGATGGGGCTTGGCGCGCTGCCTGGGTCACCCAGCAGCAGGACAGATTAACTCAAACTGGGTGCACACAGGGCCAAAAGAACAAAGGAGACAACGCCGACGGTACCCGAGCAGCACAGGACGATGCCACCATAACAAGGAATCAGCTGGTGGGCAAGCGTGACAAACCACTCCCACCACGTTCCTCATCCCAGAGCTTTATGCTGCCGTTTTGCCCCCAATTCCCAGTGACTACATAAAGATAGCGCACCTCAGCAGCGAGGAACATCCACCCGTCCGTCTAAACTTGTAGCCCCAGCAGGGGCCCAACGTTTCCACATTTTTGACTGAATCTGACCTCTCGTTCAGCAGAGGATGGATTCCACCATGTGGCACAAGAGCCCCTCGCGTGTCCAGAGGTACCTGTGTCAAACACGTGAAGCCGCTGGTCCGTAACGGGTTCTGCTCCTTTCTCTCCCCCTCCGAACACGTACAGGCAGTCTCCTATGGCTGCTGAGGATGTGTGGAACGTCCTCGGTGCTGGCTGAACACCTCTCACTTCAGGAGTCTCCCAGGTTCCTATTTCTAATTAAGACATTTGATTAAGACAGATGGTAACAGGAAAGGCGCCCCACTGCCCTCCCCACGGAGGAGCCTGGCAGCGCCTCTGCGGCCAGCCCAGCCCGCAGG